ATATGTAGCGTGTGAGCCGCTCTCCATCATTTATCAGCAGTCCTGGTTAACAGGGGAGGTCCTGTTAACAACAAGAGGGGCAGGAAGGAGGATCTGGGGAGCTACAGGCCAGTCAGCCTGACCTTGGTACTGGAGAAGATGATGGAACGGTTCATCCTGATGGTGCTCACATGGCACATGCAGGACAGCCAGGGGATCTGGCCCAGCCGCCGTGGGTTCGTAAACGGCAGGTCCTGCTTGACCACCCCGATCTCCTTCTATGACCAGGTGACCCACCTAGTGGATGAGGGAGAAGCTGTAGGTGCTGTCCACCTGGACTTCAGTAAAGCCTTTGACACAGTCTCCCATGGCATTCTGCTGGAGAAGTGGTGCCTCATGGCCTAGACAGGTGGACTCTTTGCTGGGTTGAAAACTGGCTGGATGTCCGAGCCTAGAGTTGTGGTGGATGGAGTTAAACCCAGTTGGTGGCTGGTCACAAGCAGTGTGCCCCAGGGCTTGGTTTTGGGACAGGTATTGTTTAATATATTTGTTTCAGGACATGGTTTAGTGGTCATGGTAGTGTTTGGCTGACAGTTGGACTTGATGATCTTAAAGGCCTTTTCCAGTCTTAATGGTTCTATGATATTGCTGATACTTTGCAACTACTGGCTTAAGGTTGCCTGAATTACAAAAATCCCCAAGCATTTGCCAGCCAGTAATCTCTCTTTTTTTTTGCTAATGGCTAATAATGAGCTTCTGATTAAATATAAATAGAGATTATACAGTCAGTTTCTCTCTGTTAAGTAGCATTAATTCTTGTCGTCTTAGTGTAGCCCACAGATGGGCAAACTAATGCCTTGCATCGACCACGCTGCCTGAAACCCTGCAAAGAGTCTGCCACAGAGCTGAGGGCAGGTCTGGTGTTGGGTTTCCCACCCTGTGGGATGGAAATCCCTTGGATGTGTTCTGCTGTAGTGGGGTTGGTAACGGCCATGCAAATACGTGCCTTGCAAACAACTAGTGCCTGGGGGTCGGGGTTTGTTACTGGAAAACTCCAGGCAGCTGAGAGTATGTCTAGCTGGGAAAAAGCAGGACAGGCTGATGGGGCTGAGGTTTGAAGCTGCTCACAGCAGTGGTGGCACTGGCTGGAGAACCTGATGGCTGTTCATTGAAGACTGCTCTGCAGTGTGGCACAGTAAGCACTTATCCTGTGAAAGTATGCAAAGGGATTTTTTTTTTTTAAATTCAGGGGCTGATGAAGTTTAATTATCTCTGTGCTCAGATTTAGTTATTTTGCATAATTTTAATCACTGATGGCCTAATTTTCCTAGGTGTTAACTCCCACAGCTCATGCTGAATAGGAGAAGCAGGTGCTCACGCCTCTGCAAGTGAGTCTTTAGCATCCAGAGTTCAGAGCTGACTACCGAAGCCACACACCGATAATCAATTTTTCTTTAGCCAATTATTGTTTTAAGAAATACTTCCCTAAACCAATGCTTTCTGTGGCTGCAGAACGATGGGTGTGTTCTATATTTAAACTTCTAGTTTTGAAAGTCTAGACCTGAAGAGCGTGATGTCTTGAAGTGATGTAAAGAAGGTATCCCCTTCCCCCTGTGTTTGATGAAGAGCAGTTTTCATTGCCTTTATGGTAAGAGGAGAGTTGCTTTTAACACTGCAGGCCTAAGAAATGTGATTAGGAATTCCCAGAAGGAACTACTAGAAGAAAAAATTCACGACTGTGCTTTCTATGTTGTGAAAGTTCAGGTATTTCATGTCTGTCATGTGAACAGTGTATTCTTTATTGTTTTCTCTGTTGGTAATAAACCCTGTGAGTGTATCCAGATTTGCACATGATTCTGTATATTATTTAAGAGAGCACGATAGCTTGTCTGAAAAGTACCTGTAAATTAAAAGTAATTGACAGTATTCCCAAACATACTCCATGAGTATGTTACACAATTCAAAAATGCTTAGAAGAAAATCATCTTATGCCCATGTTTGCAACATAAGAAGCTGAAAGAACATTGCCATGATCTCAGGCAAACTAATGTATTCATTTTCCATGGAATTTTGAGACACACGTTTCCTTGCCGTAGCTGTAGTTTGGAACAGATACTGTGGAGAACACAGAGAATTACAAGTTGGAAGGCTTTTTCTGCAGAGGCACCCCACTGTGCTTGAGTTTACAGCGTTCAATCAGCAGTTTAACAAACAGATGTAGTTTTAACAACTGTGGATCTGCTGTAAGTGGAGAGAGCATTTGTCTTGAGAATAAAAGAGGGAAGTTATTTTACATAGGTTACATTACACAAAGCCCAAAGATTGTATGGAAAAAGTAAACTATAAAATTTAAAGGATCAAAGGATCAAAGCAGCAGAAGTCAGAACAGATTGGTTATAAAACCAAATGTTGCCTAAGATTTGTGTTTGGGAAGCTGAGGAAGACTTTAGGCTCTTACTCGCTCCACTGATACTGTGACCCATGAATCAAAATTAATTATGCCTGTGAAAACTGGTGTATGAGAAATACACTTTACATTTTCAGACACGATGGGGAAATAACTTTTGCTTTCCGCTGATACACAACATTGTTTTCCCTGTAGTTTTAATAAGTCCCTCCTGGCATTTAAGATGGTACATACCAGTGATGGTTGTCTGTACAGAATTCACGTATCTCTACCCAAGAACATTATCCTCCTCGAAAACCATTAATGCTGTTTAGGTGTGAATGGAATATAGGATGAAAGTATTTTTGTCTAGAGCTTGCTGTGTATCACAGCTTCTGGAAACTGAAATGAGAGAGCTGAGTTAATTTAGACAGTCTCTTCCAGAAATTGGTAGTACCCTGGGTGTTTATAAAGGTGTCACCTGGAGAAGAGCTACCTGGTGCTTGGAACTCTGTTGACATATGAAGGGTTTGAGATATTAAGTGCATTGCAGAGTGAAGCGTCCAGCTCAAGGCAGAGGGAGGTGGCTTAATGGTTTGAGCCACATGTTTGAAAACTAGTTTTCACAGTTAATCGAACCTCTTAATCTTAGTTACTTCTTTGCACCCTGTTCAAAGGTGTTGTCAGGGTGATTTAGTGTTTCAGAATGCTTTGGAGATTAGTGCTATGTGAAAAGTTTTACATGAGTACTTCAGACAAATGGCAAATACTTAACCTTTGTAAATTTAACATTGAAAATGTTTCAAAACATTCACTGTTTTTGATAGGGAATTGCTACTGTAAAGATTAAACCAATTCTATGTCGCCATCTAATAAAGTACCACACCCTCACCAATAGCCTTTCAAAAACCTGTTTTACCTGCTCTCTTTGGTTTCCAAAGGTTTGCCTGGAGGACTTCTGAATGGAAAGCTTGCCAAGTGTCTCTCCTCCTTGACCAGCAGGACCCTGGCCACCACAAGCACGTGGGCCTTTGTGGAGGTGGCGTACAGACCCGGGAGGTCTACTGTGTCCAGATCACCACAGAACTTGGGGTGCACCGGCTGAAGGAAGGTACGTGTGTAGGGTCGTTCTGGGTGGCTGACCCAAGTAGATCTGAGTAACAGAAACAAGGGGAAGGGAAAATGCAGGTAACATGCAATTATTGGTATTTCTTAGGTTTATTTTTTGGCTAGCTGATGGCCTCATTGTATCTGTGCTTACACAGGGAGGTGGTACTCAGCATCACAGGGAGCAGGAGAGCATGGTCCTCGGGGTCCTGAGGAACTGCCAGGAGACACAACCTTCTGTGATGAATTGATGCCAGTTCTCTGTGTTGCTTGTGTGGGAGGGTTTCTGAGGATGAAGGACCTAAACTTTGCTTGGAGTTGTTTTGTTCCTTTTTCGTATATAGGGTAGCCCAGCACTAAAATCTGTGGTTTCAGTCCTGGTTTAGAGTAGAAAAAAAGATGTTACACTCCATTCTAGATACAGCTTTAGCCTCTGGTTTAGATTGATACACAATCTTTCTTGTGATTTGAAGGGGAAAGCAAAAATAATATTGTCACAACTTCTGAGGAGACAGATGGTTTTTTGGACTCTGGAAGTGAGTTACAGTCCTTTTAGAAGAATAATGAGTAGATATGGATGCATGATGAATAATTCATCTTTGGCTGTTTTATTTACTCTATGTAGTTCTCTTGCAGAATATGTTTTTGAGCAGAGATATAAGATAATAAGAACACAATATCATATCTTAGATTTATTTTCTTACAAAAGCAAAGCAGATGTTTCTTGGGCACCCAGTGTGTCCTAGCATCCCCCACAGACTCTCAGATTATAGAAAACCAGACCTGTTTTAATCTCTACTTAGTTCATACATAGTTGCTCCTTCACCTTTCACAAGCACTTGGCTCTGCCATCCTCTCCCAGCACAAACCCTGCTCTGATGTTCTGCACAAGTGTGCAATGAACATGACTTTTGGAATAAGAAAAGTGCTGTTGATGAGAGGTGTGTAACATTTCTTGTCTGTCTTCATCTTTCTCACCTCATCTGTGGTCCATGCAGGCCCTGTATGGCAAGTTGGTGAGCAGCAAGCTTCAACTGACTTCATTCACACTTCTTTATTATTTTTCAGTATTGTGAATTACTCAAGAAGATTGAGATTGCATCTGAAATCCTTACACCAATGTAATTTGTAACAGAATTGGTGCTATATAACTGATGTTTGTGAACACCTGCAGGTTTTTCTTTGTTCAAAGTTCAGTTCAACTTAAAAATTGCAAGCCCTCCCAACAACTCTGTATAACAGCTGTACAAGGTATAAATTACTACTTTGCCTTTTGCCTTTTCAAGGTAGGAGTGCAGGTTTGCAGTAGTGCGTAGAAAGTGGAACTGCATCTACTCTCAACACAGTCACATGCACATAGAAAGAGGGGAAAGCCTTCATTATTATCTCCCCTGATCCAGTAATGTTCAGTGTATCTCATTCACTAGCTGATCAATTTTTGTTCTTTAAATAAATAAGGAATAAACTCTTTTCTGGCACTTTTATTTTTTTTTCTGACAATCTGAACTGGTAGAATACTTTTATTCATCACTAGGGCATCTCATATTTTATTGTATCATTTTTTCAGTGATGTGTAGAAGATGAGTTTATTTCTCCTATGTATAAGCAAATATAGAGTCTAATTGCTTCCATCAAAAGTACAGTAATTTTTCTTTCTTCACCTCTTGAGTATCCTTAAAGGGATCATTCAAGACTCAGACAAGCGAGTCTAATAGGATATTACCATCCATCACAGTTGTTATTCTTCTGGTTACTTCCAGTGAGAATTTGGACCTAGGCCCAATGACATATGTGAAAGAAGATTTTGTCTCTTGGTCTCTCCAGCAGTATGCTTGGATAAAATATGTTGAGTCTTAGTTGGAGACAGGTACCATCTGTGATGTATTTGTGCATATTGCCCAAAGCTCTTTTATCCCCCAAGGATATCGCTCACATTTTTCATTTACTTAGTCTTCCCATCTATTTCTTCTTTTATTAAATGTGTATATTTAGAAAGGGATCCCTTGTTTTCTTGTGTCCCTATACAGCAGTTATTCAGAAGGTTAAGTCTGCTGAAATCTTTCTATATTTTGATTATAAAAAATCCAACTTGAAGATGCTGGAAATGGAGAACTTTCACTTGGGTATTACTTTCAGAAATGCATTGATAAGATTTCATATCTTTCCTCCCCCAAGAGATGACCTAGGAAATCCCTGTCTTGATCCAAGTGAAGTTACATTATTTTTAGGCCTTAAGGAAAAGTCCATACTTTTAACATGGGTGATGAGTATTTCAAGGCAGAAGGCCATTCAATCTTTGAAGCCCTTTGTAAAATTCTTGCATTCTGAGACTCTTACATCTAGATGAAGTTGGCAAGGCATGCTTGGTAAATGTGGAAGTGTCATGTCACTCAGGTATCTGTATTTCTCCATGTGTGTGTCAGCCAATGTATGGGCATGTAACTGAAGAGACTGAGCTACTTTTAATGTCAGCTAGTCTGTCTGTGGAATCTACCTCTCTACTCAGCTGTGAGCCTTTTGACTGATCTTTAACATAATTAGCTTTGAATGGATCCTTGTGTTTTTTCTTTAGGTATCTCATTGAATTTTAACACATCTGAATTTATAATCTTAATTTTCACAGTGAGGTGGTCATCTGATACTGCAAATTTATCAGTATTCTTTTGCTATGCAGAGATGGAAGCAGCAAGTCTCCACGTTTGAAATGATGTTGCTTTTCAGGAGGAGACAAATTTTGCACCAAAAGTAACAGAATATGCAAGTGAGCTAGCTACCTGTACTACAGCTCTGATCTGCCCTTGCTGCCTTTCGTCTCTGGATACTCCGTGATCCCTGTTCCTGGATGTCCCATGTCTGGAACAAACTGTAGATGCAGTGGTGGTTACTCTTCTTTGTACCTCTTTTTTAATGTAAAACTCTTCACTTGCATGGAAGCTCTTTTAAATAAAGCAGAAATACAGATCCTCAAGTTACTTTCAAAGCCAGACACTGCTAACATGGGACACATGTATTCTCTTCTCTTTTGTAAATGGGCTCTTCTGGACTGAGATCAGATCTATGTGACTATTGATTTTATAAGATGTTATCTGAAATATTTATTCCCACAATAAATTTTAATTAATATGGGTGAACATCACTAACAATCCCTAGTACACCAAAAAAGAAGATATTTGGTAAATATATGGAGGAGTGTTATGCGACGATCAGTTTATGAAAACTCTCTCCTTGGTTAGAGTACAACCCTCTCAATCACAATAAATAAGCCCAATAATATGGGAATTAAAATTATTCTTAGAGCCTGGAGAAGGTGTCTGTGCTTATGTTCAAACAATTAAATATATGAGGTTCCTACATTTCATCTTTTTCTTCACAAATTTTTTACCTTCTCTCTTGAAGACCAGGGAGTAGCCTTTTGTTTTCTAATTAAATTTTGCTTTTTGGATTTATCTGGAGACTATAACTCTTTATCAGTAGTCTGGTAGATGGCATCTCTTATAAAATTTCCCAGAAGCATCTCCTCTCTTCTCTGAACTAATTACCTGCTGTCCCTAGTGACTGGGATTGCTGTTCTCTCCATATTTTCTGTAGCTTTCTAACTAGGGATCTGCCTGCCCTGTCATTCTTCTGTAAAATTTGTGCCTTATGTATCCTGACGTTTTTTCTTTTTTACTTATTTGAATGAGATCCAATTTGCCTCTCACTTTCAGAATTTTCTTATAATGTTTTTGGAGCCTGTCTGCTTAAGTTTTAATTATAGGACTGAAAAGACCTTTGTGAAATGCTGTTCTTCCTTGAATCTTCTGTGTTGTTTACCTAGCACAGTAAACTTGGCTAATAAAATGTATCTCTTATTACCATCTCACCAGCAAATCATTGCAGTTTCATATCTCCTTAATCTTTGTTATTTTCCATCTGAAAATCCACATTATATTCTCATACCTCTGCAAGGTTTTAAAGATTTGTTTACAATTTTTTTTTTGCTTAATGAATGTCCCCATATATTTATTTTTATTTGATCTTGGTTTTCAATAGCAGATATGTGAGATACATATCACTTTGTCATCCTTAGATACCTTTTAGTGTTACCCTGCAAAACTATTTCATACAGAAATCTTTATTACTTTTATTACCCCTCTTTCCTTTGAGATTCACCCCTCACCTGTTAGTAGGCATAATTTCTTAACTTACTTATTCCACTGTACTTCACCAGCCTATACCAATTTTTGCTTTATTTTTAGGGTGCAATTCTACCTGGTTCCTCTTACATCAGTTTTTTTTTATAAACTTGTGTGGCACTAGCAGCAGCATTAAAAAAAATCCTTTAGTCTGTTTAGAGTTCAAGACTCAGTAAATATTCAAATACCTTTCAGGTCTAATGGTTACTTTCTGATCCATCCCTGTGTGTATTCCTGTATGTATTTTTGCCTTACAAGCTGCTTTACTGAAAGAATCCCCAAATGGTTAAGTATTCCCCTGCACTTTCATCTAAGTCCTACTTATATGAGTCTCAGAATGAGAATTTTATGGCCTTTATCCTTTCTTGTTTTCCACAAGATATTGAGCCTTCTCCCCACTTCTGATAGACAAAAGTGTCTAATTCTTTATCTGATGAGTGAACTTTTTAGACTATTGTTAACTTTATTGTCAGAGAAGTTTTGATACCATAATTTGATTTTTCAGAAATTGGTGCCTGTTTGGTGCTACATAGAGATAATTTGAGGATTCTTTTCATGCATGTCTTGTATTATCCTGTATTTATTCTCATCCTTTTCTTTCTGCCCTTTTGTCTCCTTTAGCTCCAAGGTATGCAGCTTTGCCGCCTTTGCTCTGTACGCTCTGTTTCCTAATGAGGGTGCCACGTTTTTTTCCCCTCAAGTTCTTTGTTCTGCTCTGAATCATGATCTTCCAATGCATGTCTTCTGGGGGATTAGTGTTTCAAATTGGTATGTGTGGCATCTGTTCAATAAACTATGGAAATACTGTCAGGAAGAGAGGCATACCAGC